CGGAGATCCTATCGGAATATCAAAACGAAAATAATGACGCTATCCCTATCGCCTAACGTATGTCACGTAAAACTGCCGAACAATTCACGACCTTCTTAAGCAGGAAACAAATGTCAGCAAATATTGCGTCGCTTGGCGCCGCTGAGCGGCGTAACCATGGCAACCGTTGCAGTCATTGGTGGTTTCTATAGTTACACCGCGCGGCAATCCGATGATACGCGATTTTCTCTCACATGTGTTTCCCGCTTTACGCTTGGACTCAAAGTGAAGCGATCTTGCACCGTGTTTCGCCATTTAAAATTTGCCATGCTATAGGCGTTCACTGTTTCCTGTCGTTCTCAGTCACGTGGGCTTCGTATCTGGTAATCGGAACGAAAAAATCATAAAACATTTCAACCTGGAATATGCCAGAACATAATGATGAGTCAAAACAAGAATCTGTTACAATCACGCATTTTTTGTAAATAGCTTTCAGCGGCGTGCAGAGATCAAAGCGATGTTTTACCGCATACCAGAAGGGACGACATTCAAGATTGTTGCGCCCTCGTGGAGAAGGTGTACAAGTGTTCTCAGCACAATAAAACAACTTCACACCCTGAACGTCGAAAATAAGCTATTTGACTGGGCGAACACCCTAAAGCCGGGGTCACACAGCTCATGCATCATACAAAAGACGGTCTGCGAACACTAGTCACCGCAATGCCCGTGGTTCGAATGCCGCGTGCCCAAGCTTCTTCTTGAGATTTTTGACATGCGTCATTCGAAGCGTGGATCTCGCGGTGACATGCGTTCGAATCTTTATACAGACTGTCTTCTGTATGATGAAGCAGTGTGATCTTGGCTTAAGGGTGTTAGCCTAATAGTCTAAAGCAGGGGTAGCCAAACCGCGGCTCGCGAGCCGAAGGCGGATCTTCGCTGGTCCAAGTGCGGCTCGCAGATCCCTCGTAAGGGAACCCCCCCTCCTTTCCTCCCCTTCCGCCCTTTCCGCGTTTCCCAAGGATTTCAGAATAAAGAACAACTTGGGTTGGGCAGCCTTGTCCCCCATACGTACAGTCGAACCGCTTTTCACTCGTATGTTTCCACAGATCCTGTTTCTTCTATTTTTCGAGGGAGTTTGTCGGACCCTAGGGGGAAAGGCATCAAGGACAGGGACAACCATGCATGCACTTTGGCTTCGGGTCGAGGAAATGTTCAGTCTCGCGGCCGTGGTCAACCGCCGGTGATACTTGTCCCCTTTATACAACGGATGTTCCCTATCGTTTCTTGTTGAAGGTCGCGGAAGCCCGAGTTGACGCCATACATATCCCCCCCCCCCCCCCCCCCCCCCACGGCTCCTACAAGTTTCTTGGTTTGGTTTGCGGCTCATAGGCCAGGTCAGCCTGGCCACCCCTGGTCTAAAATCTAACGTCTAAAAGTAATCCAACCACGAATACCACGGCGACTGATGTCTGCCAGACTGTCTTTTGTCTGATTATAAGCAGTATGACCCAAGTTTTAGGATGCTGGCGAACGCCCTGAAATTGGACGCTGGCGACCATAGCAGCCTACTGGGGATATTTTATTTACGAGTAGCACACTTGCAAGGAACACGCTCCTTTTTCAACCCCTCAGAAATGGAGAGATTTTTTTCTTAAACTTTAACAGCACCCTTTTTTGAGATTAAAGAGGCCTTTTGCGCAATAAAAGGTTACTGAAAGAGTGTAACTATGGCGGCTAGTCTATATAATACGCTCTTTACATCCTTAAGTGTTAAAACTTCGTATGTGCCTTGCTCTCAGCCCTGAGGAGAATGCGTACATCACCACGTTTGGCGTTCGACGCCCTGCGACGCGACTACGTAGAGTCTCCGGATGCGACGAACCGCTGGTGTGTGCAGCGGGAGCTGACGTCCGGCAGAGACGCGGCAAGTGTGTCATTCGGAGAAGCCCTCCCTGACGCCGGTCCGGCAAGCGGACCGTAAAGGCGGACAACGGGGCAAGAGACACAGGAAGCGCGGCTCCTCGTTCCGTTTATCTTGTCCGTACGCGAAGAGCCGCCAACCGGCACGCGTCGCCTTGTACTCCGCCTCATTTCCGCGAACCACTTTACTGCCCTGGGCGTTCCAGATAACAAGGGGGAGTGAGGTGCGACCGAAGAGACCAGAGGCGTTTACCGGTGGAATCTAATGTTTTTCAAAATTGGGTGTTACGGTCCTTAGCCGTAGTTCTAGTTATTGGGGACAAATAATTTGAATAAATGATAATGATTGTTCGCAATTACAGCCAGAAATAATTTTGTTGTAGTCAGCCTCACTCAACAGCCTCGTGTAAAGTGCTACTTACTACTGGAACGTGTTTCTTGTATTGAGTAGCTTGTAAGTCAACGCCGACGTAGTAATCAGAGTCACTCTACATGCCTCTTTTAGAGAGGCACTGAATACGAGAACACTTTTGTGAATTGAGTAACTCCCAGACAGGCGCCGTCGTAGTGGTGAATCCCACTCTACAAGCCTCTTGCTGAGTGACAGTGATTGATGGAACGTTTTTGTGTATTAGATAGTTTTTAGAGTGCTTCCGCCCAAAGTATTTGCGCGAGCAGTTCTGTACACGTACAGAGCGCCTCCACATAACAGCTCCCCTACATACGTTCGCTTTTTTTCACCTCAGACGCAGTCCCGAGCACCCACGTTCTGAAAAATCTTTTCAGCCCCTCCCACCCCCCTCCGGCCCCCCTCCCCTCCCCCCCCCCCCCCCCAAAAAAAGGCACTTTTTTGTGTCCTTTTCTAACACAAGCAACATGTCGCAGAATCGTTCTCGCAAAGTACATACACCTCACGCACGATCCCTACATGACTTTTACTTAGAGCAAGGATCTGTTGCAAAAACTGTACAGCAGACTGACTGAAAGCAAGCCTGCTTCAACATGCCTTTCCATAACGCAGCAGCTGCCGCTGTTAATCGCAGTACGCGTTGTGTAATCGTTTGCATTTGTTTTGTTAGAAAACTTACAGTTTAATTCAAAAGGTTTTTGTGCTTTCTTTTTTCTTTTTGCAGTGAATGTGCTACATTTGACAACAGGTGCATCAATGTTGTAGAATAGAAAAACATCGCAATAGTGTCATTCTTACATGAAACATGTGTTAGTAAACCCGGAAACGAGTGCTATTTTTTTTAAAGTATAAACAGTGTTTTCTAAATTAAAAATGTGCACATGATTCTAAAAGAATATGAGCGCAATGTGGTTGCGTTTTCAGTACCACGCACTCATTAAAGCTAAGTTCAGTTGATCAAGAACTTCCATATGTGAGGAATAACAGGATAACGAGTACTCAGGCCTGATTCCAGCATAAAGGCAATCTGTTATTATAATGTATTAGGCATATACGCTCTAAGAAATCTCGTGCGTCTCCTCTCCCGCAAGGCGGTTGGCAGAGCCCATCCTTGCAGTCTGCAGAGGGCGCTTGACGAATGACGACGCCGGTAACGGGTGTAAACCTTAAACACCTGTCACCACTGTGGCTTGATCATGACGCTTCACCATGCTCGGTGCCACAGCGCAGACCACTTCTTTAAATTTAAACATATCATCAGCCCCTTTATTCGACGAGCGCCCTCTGATGACTGCAGCGATAGGCTCCCGCAACTACCTTGCGGGACATCAAACGCTCCATATTTCGAAGAGTGCAGTAAGTTGGTGCATAAACAGAATATCATCGTATGTTAACATTAACATCCACCCTATAAAAAAGTGGGTCCCTGCTCGACATAAAACGCAAAGCACCAAAGCACAGCCACAATATTCGAGTAACGAACAGAACGTAAGGGCGCGAGTTAGCTGGTGTATACTGAACATTTTGATGCAATCCGAGACAGAGGAAATTCGAAATTTTTGAGCAAGAGAAGGGGATCGTCTAAAACCCAGCAAGAATTTTATTGAGGACAGAACCCTGTATGTAAGGGTCGAGCAAACTAAAAGAAAGAGAACCATCCTTTCCCACCAGGCAGTTGGGAGTGCCAAGCACTTTACTTCCAGTAGTATTGATCATAGTGTCAAGGAAAGTCCTTTCAGTCCAAGGCTGTTTCATTTCAGGACTACGCGAAGTACATGCGTATCTTCACAATGTTCGTGCTTAAACATAAAAAAAAATTTAAAATTTACGTGCTAACATCAGACCGTTTGTTATCAAAAATTTCCACCGCAACAAGGTCGCGTTTTTTTGTTTTTTTTTTTGTCTTTTGGGCTACCAAGTTACAGAGACATTCAGAACTAACCATTTTCCAGGAGAGCTGCTATTTATGCCGCGTGAGTTGTAAGAAAATTAAAAAAGTAAAAATTTCAAAATCTGAATATCCGAAAAACGTTTCTCGAAACTTTAGAAGGGGAAGCGTCAACTGTACCATCTCCGGCGTCTTTTAAGTGCCCACACATTAAGTGTTAGAGGCTAAAAACCCCTAATTTACGCTGTTGTATGTTCAATACACATCACGAGTTCTCACAAAAGTACCGCGCAAAAATATTTTGGTTCAACAATATGCATTACAAAACTAATAGCGTCTCGTCCACCTTCTGCTTCTCTGTGTGCTTCATGTTATTCATGTTCTCTTTTTCTTTTCTTTTTGCTATGCTTGCGAGCGTTGGTGCAAGAATGCCACATTAGGCTTGCGCTGCGAATCGTAAGACTCAAAATTTGTCTTGAAACCTATGAAAAATTAAAATTGCAAGTTCCAGAGAAATAAAAAAAAAAATGCTGGAGCATTAAACCAGAGAAGGAGGGCTAACTCTTCAGAAATTCTTGCATAGCGTGTACGAAAGCCTAAAAAAGAAAATGGTGATTGAAAGCAGCTTACGAGCGCGTGTTCTCTCCGAGTAATGCTGAAACTTTACGTTCCACCTCTCAGTGCAGTAAATAATTTCTCTCGTATATATCGCAACGCGTTTATCCATTCACATAAATACCGCGCAACCTGGGTCACACCCGAGTCAAGCCGGCATAGGTGGAACAACAAACGGCCCCGTCTCACCTGTGGGCGTCCCGTCGACGGCGGCGCACGAGACGAGCAGCGCTAACGCGACGCATCCTAACCACCTGCCCCTGCTCTGTTCCAGCATCATGGTCAAAAGACGTGCAACACCGATGTCTCTCCCGAGGACAGGACGTGTCCGTGCCGCTCCTCTCTTATATAAGTTCTGGCCGAGAGAGGCGGCGGCAAGGTCGCCCCGCGAGTTGTATGCCCTCCTTGGGAGTCCGGTCACGCTCGCCCCGCCGTCTTCGTGGGCGCAGCGCCGTTTCCCAATGGACGGCACTCGGCGACGGGTTCCGTGACGCGACGCCGACGCCGACGTCCCATTGGAAGGCTCGTGCGCGCAACGGGACAGAGAAGGGGTGCACGCGTCGCCAGACGGAAGGCCTCTTCGTCTGGGACGAATTCTTTTCGGTGGTCGACGAACCGAGAACGCCGTGGTATTCCTGCGTTTTTTATTCGTCTCGTTGACTGCGGGCCGTGACAGGAGTGCTATCGAAGGATGCGCAGTTTCACGCTTCGTCCGAGGGCAGTCGAAGGCACGAATTCGTAGAACCGCTAAGGCACGTACTAGAAGCGCACGTCACTGGCCCTTCTCTGCACGTGGTTGGTTTGGCGACGACAAAACACGTGCACAAATATAAGAATACACCTTTTAACGCGAAGACCGAAGCAAACGTAAGGAGATAGAACGGTCTGTTTTGACGGCTGAAATTATGCGCTGTCATTACACCCGCATGATTGGATCTGATAATGTGCAATTCCAACTTGGGTAGTGCATTTACATCTATTATATATCCCTAATTAAGATTAAAAAAAACACTACAAAAAGAAACAACCCCAGAAGCAAAACCGGAAATAAGTGGATCCTGGTACTGTAAATCGGCAGTTGATGGGGTGCGTAATAATTATGATGATTTTTCTGGCTCTCAGTCGCTCGTATTGGGTGGTGCATGAATGTCGTGCCGATTTCCCTGGCAATTACCGCAGGGAGGCGTTTCGCCCAGACGATCGAAGCAAGAACCTCCCAGAGGTCAATTTTCGTTTTTCGTCCTTGGCCTTCTACGATGCTGTGCACTGCCTCCAATATTTGGGCTTCTGAGGGGCAACTTTTTGTTCTGATCGTTTACAAAATGATCTCCTAAATGGTCCTACTTTCTAAAAACACCCGTGCGTCTGTTTCTATTTTCAACTTTACCAAGCCCAAATCTAACAAACAAGCGAAAAAGAAGTAGGTGTCATTCCACAAAGCATAACGTAACACTTTCGACGTCAATGTGCGTGGATAATGTGCATACCATAGTCCTTGATCAAACGTGTCGTTTCAAATCTTGTCCAATAACGCTGCTCTTTTGTTGCAAGCATCAGAGAGTGTGCCTTCCTGTGCTTTGAGAAGCAGATGCGAAACATTCTCTGAAGTACGAGGTACATACGGGCACTACCTCATAAGTGCGTTAAAAATACCAATAATCGAGTTTCCTTTCTTTATTGTTTTTAACAGGCGAGTAAAACGCGCCTTGTTACACTTTAATAAAAATGCGGCCTCAGTGACAAGTGTGATGAAGTCGCTTTTGCCTCAGGAACTGCAAAATAATTTGAGAGCGAAAAAAGTTGCACTTCTTTGCTGCTGCCAAAGTTTATTCATTCGACCTAAAGGATATTCAGTTCGCATCTTGAAAAGTTGAAAAAAGCCTAGTATACTTACTGAAGCACAAGCTTTCTTCATGCTCTGCAATGTGTACACTAGAAACTGACAGTCTTCCTGCCTATCCTCCACATACATTTTAGGCGTAGTCATTGCAATCCTCATTTTGACGTAGTAGTGTATGTATCTCCACAGCGTAATGTCACCCCATACGGCTCAGGAATTGGTGTCCGTCATACCATGGCGGACAGTGGAGTTCAAGCTCTGTCGAAATTGCTTTGGCAGAAACCAGCGATTTTTAACAAAGCCTGGTTTTACAGCTTATGTCCTCTACATTTAGACATTGCTTATGTTGAAGCTTGAGCTAGTTGGTGTGACATATCTACAAGGTTAAAACAGCACAAACGGCGAAGGACAAAAGGTAGGACACATATACCGCGCTGTGTATGTGTCCTTGTACTTCTCCCTCGTCGTTCGAGCTTTTTTAACCTTTTAAAAATAATCCTCTACATCGCTTACCTCACCATCTGGCTTTGATGAACTCTGGCGGTGTGAAACTACGACTTTAACTGATTGTAGAGCAGGGCATAAACCCTGCTGAACAAAGAAATCGAAAATACGCAGGCGAGCTGGTAAATTAACTAAAAACCCAAACTTTTAATATACAAAACAAACAGAAAATAAAAAGACCGTCCCAAATTTGAGATAGTGTGCATATTTGTCGTTTTTTATATGTATTTCCAGTTTTGGATTTTGTCACTATAAACACCGCTCAGTTACCTTAGAATGTTCTCTAATTGTTACATTCCATTTCACTTCAAGTGGAGCGCACCAAAAGCTACGAGTGAGTGCTCTGGGCTTTCCGCACCCTCGTTAACGTGCACGCTCGCTCGTCCAATGCAAGCATCGTTCACGGCATCATGCTCGTGCTTGTACCCAAGGCGTCGCTCGAACATAAAGTGAGACAAGCTATACACCTTTGCAAGTGGGATCCCGGCTTAACCTCGAACCGCGCGCCAAGGTGAGGCGGACCTACTCTCCAGCCAGGACGTTCGCTGGTTGTCGTACAATGTTGCCAAGCGTCTCTCGCCGAAGCGTACACCACTGAGCGCAGAAAGAAATTTAAAAAAAAATAATTATAAAACGTACACGTGTCGTATTCGACAGCGAAATAGCAAGGACAATTAAATAAAATGCCTAAAGCGGTAACAAATCGAAAATTTTCAAAAAGATCGAAAGTCTCAAGGCGCTCTCTTCAGAATGCGCCAAAAGTCGCATGGCCTTTGCATCAACGATGGCTGCGCTCGCGGCAGCTCTGGCTTCCACAACATGCAGGAACAGAGGCTGCGATCGTTGTAAACTCAGCTCCAACCCTGAAAGATGCCCCGTCCTACAATATGTGACGCTACGATTCTGTGTGGATACCTCCTCCTGCGTTCCGAGACAGTAAGTGTGCCGCTAACGTAAGCCATCGGCGATGCAGCAAACGGCACCATCTCGTCATCGCGCACCCCAGTGACGTGCCCCTGGCGCACCCCAGCATGGCGGAAACGGTACGGGGCGCCAACATCGCTCAAAATGACAGCGCACAGGAGCCTTTCTTGCAAACGTGTATATAGGGTGTGAAGCAAATAAAATCAGTAGACGTTTGTCTTCAATTTTTACCTCAGACGAATTTGCAAATGGTTATGATTGGTGCACCAGGGGGCTGAAAAAGCAAGAAATCGCCACTCCTGCTCTTAGAAGTTGTGATTGAGAGCGATAAGATTTGCGCCGGTGTTCTGCGAGCGTAGAGATATTGAGAAATCTTTTTTGCTCCGCTTAGGGTATCACCAAATGAAGCGCGAAGGATCTTCCAGAGTAAAAGCACGCTAACAGTTTGTGAACGAGCCAAATAGCGAGCCAAATTAAACGAGCTAATTAAAAAAGAGAGGTCTGTTATTGCACTTTTTGTTTGAAAAATATAAGACAACAAATCACAACTATAATGGTATACAAGCATGCCTGCGAATGGTGAAGCTCAGGATAAGAATAGACTAAAGAAATTCGACGTGCGCAGGGACAGGAACATGTTTCGTTGGCCCATCGTCCTTGCAGATATCGGATTTTTATATCTAATTATAGTATCAGGTTTGCCATTCAATTGTTTCTCTGTAGTAGGCGGTTCTTGTGTTCTGCTAAAAATTTATATAAAACCTTATTCGTATGTGTAAGAGACATACCGCCACTCGCCAAATAGAAAATCCCAAGATATTCTGCAGCTGTTTTTTTTTTTCAGTTTTGAAAGAGCGGAGGAAGCTGCAATCGGCCTGGCCCTCAACCACGCGTCCGAGTCGTTACGCACCATAATCTGTGGCTCCAAGACGGCCATTCTCGGCTTCAGCTCAGGTCGCGTCTCTCGATCAGCAACAAAGCTCCTAACATTGAAATCATCCATCATCCCTCCAGTCACACACCCAATCACATTAATCTGGTCTCCGGCTCATCAGGGGGTCGGTGGTAACGAGGCGGCCCACGCCGCGGCCCGAGATGCGACTCGCCGGGCCGGGACATGCGGGGCGGTCGGCGTGGCCATTCCGATTGCTAACGAGCCGAGAGATATCCCATGGCATAAGGAACCGCTTCGTGGTTTTCATGACATTACACAACACTACAGATTACAGCGCCAGATATACCCACCACCACATAAGTCACTCAACAGACGCCAACAAGTATTATGGCGACAACTTCAGACGAATACTCTTCCTAACCCCGCGACACTCAGACACTACCTCCCGGATCTATACAAGGCCCGATGCACCAAGTGCTATGATCCAACAAAGGACGCCGACGAATACAACAAGGCCACGATCGAACATATATTCTGGTCCTGCCCGGCCGATCCCCCACCGTCTTCCCTCACACGACATTTGACACAACCAGACACTCAGTGGACGACCCTGCTGCTCAGCTCCGACTGCGTTATTCAACTCGCTGCGGTCACAAGAGCCGAGCAAGTCGCCGCCCGGCCCAGTCCGTCCGGCCACTCTGCAGGGGAGGCACCACGCCGGCCGTAGGAGAAGGAACCCACGTTCTGGATCTTATGAAGCTTTTATAAAGTTTATTCTCTCTCTCTCTCTCAGTTTTGAAAGGGCAGGCATAGAAAACATCACGTGAGAACTAAAAAGAAAAGAGAGCGGATGTTTGCGAGAGCTTCTGAGCCCGCCGGCAATACGAAGGTGAACACCTTACCTGGTTTCTTTTCTGTTTTACGGCTCCCTAAAGCTATATTAACTCTCAACATCTCAAATGGTTCGTGGCTTGGGGGTCTAAACTTTGCGTTCTGGCCCTCTACTGGAACAGAGCTTGTTCCAAAACTTGCAGGAGCATCAAAAGAAACAAAGAGGGCTGTTCACCTTCATATCGCTCTCGGGTGTACATCATTTCCGCCGCTGGAACACACTCGCTCCTGCGTAGGAAGTGGGACTCGCCATGGACTGACGTTTTACTCCGGTGTCGGTGCTAAGACGCATTAACTGGTGCTTAGCGAACGTACGCGCGAGTACGTT